AATCAAAAATATTGAAAATTTTCTATAGAAATAAAATATTGAAAATTTTCTATAGAAATTAAAAATATTGAAAAATTTTCTATAGAAAATTAAAAATATTGAAAAATTTTCTATAGAAAATTAAAAATATGGAAAAATTTTCTATAGAAAATTAAAAATATTGAAAAATTTTCTATAGAAAATTAAAAATATTGAAAAATTTTCTATAGAAAATTAAAAATATTGAAAAATTTTCTATAGAAAATTAAAAATATTGAAAAATTTTCTATAGAAAATTAAAAATATTGAAAAATTTTCTATAGAAAATTAAAAATATTGAAAAATTTTCTATAGAAAATTAAAAATATTGAAAAATTTTCTATAGAAAATTAAAAATATTGAAAAATTTTCTATAGAAAGTTAAAAATATTGAAAAATTTTCTATAGAAAATTAAAAATATTGAAAAATTTTCTATAGAAAATTAAAAATATTGAAAAATTTTCTATAAAAAATTTAAAATATTGAAAAATTTTCGATAGAAAATTAAAATATTGAAAAATTTTCGATAGAAAATTAAAAATATTGAAAAATTTTCGATAGAAAATTAAAAATATTGAAAAATTTTCTATAAAAAATTTAAAATATTGAAAAATTTTCTATAGAAAATTTAAAATATTGAGCATTGGATGATATTTCTTAATATATGCGATATAAATCGATCGATATAAAAGGGTTTTCACAAACTTTTGCTATGAAATGGAACATCAGATAGCGGTCTAGGTGTATACCCTTCACCTTCGTGAAAAGGGTATGAATGTCGTGTGCTTTACGTGAACATCTGCCATGTTGGCCTATTTCACGCTGGTCTTTTTCAACCACTGGGTGTGCTTCTGTGACGACTCACCACCGCCCCATTGTGTTTTTACATTCAGGTGGCAATTTACTTACGTATATGGAATTTTCGGTCCAGTATACGTACACTTTGCTCAAGTACTTGAGCTATTTAATCTCTGACCATTGCTGTCCCGTTGCTTAACTTCCGAGATGCAAAAACATCACTTCCGTTTACAACCACTCAGATGGTATGGACCCCAGATATCTTCCGGATCTAAATCTTCAATAATTCTGTCAGACATAATTTCTAGAAGTTTCCTATTGAAAATCAGCAAAATCGATCCATAAATAACGATAAGATATGGGCAAAAATCTGAGACTACCTCTGAAAATTTCCTCAACAAATTATAAATAAAAGCATAAAAAACAACAACAACGAGATAAAGCAGTAATATTTGGGTAATACAGCTTATATTTGTTTGAGGATGATAACACAGTGCATTTGTTGGTGGATAGGTACAACAGTTACTATTTCTTTCTGAGCTAATACAGTTTATATTGGTTTTCCTTTCAAACCAACCTAACTTTTTAGTTTCTATAGAAGTTATTTATAAGTTTTAGTCTCTATGGAAAACTTATTAACTTCCTTTAGTCTTTAGAGTAAAGTTTTCTATAACCTTTAAACTCTATAACTATCAATAATTTTCTTTTTCTATAAAATTCTTAAACAAGATTTTGAAATAAAACTCCATTAGGTTTTTTCATTTGGTTCTTTTTTTGATTTTTTTTTTTCAGATATATAATTTTTTTTTTTAATTTTTTTTATTTATAAAATATGAAACATTTAAATCTTTTTTGACTTTATAATTCAGTTAGTTTTTAAGTGATGCTCAGTTATAAATAGTTTTTTTTCAATTATTATTTAATGCCTTTAAAATGTTATTTGTCTCTTTAATTATTGCATTTAATTTTGTTTAATTTGTTGAAAATGTTTAGATTTTTTTGTTTAGAAACACTACCATGAGTAAATACTTTGTGTACAGGATTTTTTGATTTTAGTTTTAAAAGTTTAATGCATTTTGTTTTCTTTATTGTTAAATACTTAATTAAGGCTTTCATTGTTTTATTTTGAGATTAAAAAAACTCTTTTTGTTCGTTTGTTAAGTTCATAAGAAAATTTGATCTCAAGTTTTTTTGGTTTGAAAGCTGTCATTTTGTTTAAAATTAAAAATGCTTAAAATTTACTGACTAATTTTAAATAATTTTTTTCTTAAAATAAATTCTAGATATTCAGCAGAATTTTTAAATTTTTTTAAATTTAAAAAACTTAATCCATGGAAATCAAACAAACAAAATAATGGAATAATTATTAAATAAAAATATTAATTTTTATACAAAATTAAAAATATTGAAATATTTTCTAGAGAAAATTAAAAAAATAATGAAAAATTTTCTATACAAGATTAAAAATTTTAAAAAACTTTCTAAGAAAATTCAAAATATTGAAATATTTTCTATAGAAAATTAAGAATAATTAAACATTTCTATAGAAAATTAAAAATATTGAAAAATTTTCTATAGAAAATTCAAAATATTGAATAAATTTCTATTAAAAATTAAAAAAATTTAAAAATTTTCTATAGAAAATTCTAAATATAGAAAATTTTTCTAGAGAAAACTAAAAAATACCGAAAAATTTTTATAGAAAATTTAAAAAATTGAAAAATTTTTTATAGAAAATTAAAAATATTGAAAATATTTCTATAGAAAATTAAAAATATTGAAAAATTTTCTATAGAAAATTAAAAATATTGAAAAATTTTCTATAGAAAATTAAAAATATTGAAAAATTTTCTTTAGAAAATTAAAAATATTGAAATTTTCTATAGAAAATTAAAAATATTGAACAATTTTCTATAGAAAATTAAAAATATTGAAATATTTTCTATAAAAAAATTCAAAATATTGAAAAATTTTCTAGAGAAAATTAAAAATATTGAAAAATTTTCTACAGAAAATTAAAAATATTGAACATATTTTTATAGAAAATTAAAAAAAATTGAAAAACTCTCTATAGAATATTCAAAATATTGAAATATTTTCTATAAAAAATTCAAAATATTAAACAATTTTCTAGAGAAAATTAAAAATATTGAAAAATTTTCTACAGAAAATTAAAAATATTGAACATATTTTTATAGAAAATTAAAAATATTGCAAAATTTTCTAGAGAAAATTAAAAAAATTTACCATTTTTTTATAGAAAATTAAAAATATTGAAAAATTTTCTATAGAATATTCAAAATATTGAAAAATTTTCTAGGGAAAATTCAAAATATTGAAAATATTTCTATAGAAAAATCAAAATATTGAAAAATTTTCTAGAGAAAATTAAAAATATTGAAACATTTTCTATAGAAAATTAAAATATACTATAGAAATTAAAAATATTGAAAATATTTCTATAGAAAAATCAAAATATTGAAAAATTTTCTAGAGAAAATTAAAAATATTGAATAATTTTCTGGAGAAAATAAAAAATATTGAAAATTTAAAAAAAAAAACTAAAAATATTTAAAAATTTTCTGTAGATAATTCAAAATATTGAAAAATTTTCTATTGAAAATTCAAAATATTGAAAATTTTTCTATAGAAAATTAAAAATATTGAAACATTTTCTATAGAAAATTAAAATATTCTATAGAAATTAAAAATATTGAAAATATTTCTAAAATATTGAAAAATTTTCTAGAGAAAATTAAAAATATTGAATAATTTTCTGGAGAAAACAAAAATTATTGAAAATTTAAAAAAAAAACTAAAAATATTTAAAAATTTTCTATTGAAAATTCGAAATATTGAAAATTTTTCTAGAGAAAATTAAAAATATTGATACATTTTCTATAGAAAATTTAAATATTGTATAGAAATTAAAAATATTGAAAAATTTTCTATAAAAAATTTGAAATATTGAAAATTTTTTCTATAGAAAATTCAAAATATTGAAAAATTTTCTAGAGAAAATTAAAAATATTGAAAAATTTTCTTGAGAAAATTAAAAATATTGACAATATTTCTATAGAAATTAAAAATAAAAATAGAAAATTCCAAATATTGAAAAATTTTCTAGAGAAATTTAAAAATATTGAAAGTATTTCTATAGAAAATTCTAAATAATGAAAAATTTTCTAGAGAAAATTAAAAATATTGAAAATTTTGTATAGAAAATTAAAAATATTGAAAATTTTGTATAGAAAATTAAAAATATTGAAAACTTTGTATAGAAAATTAAAAAAATTCAAATTTTCTAGAGAAAACTTAAAATATTAAAATATTTTCTGGAGAAAACTTAAATAATTGAAAAATTTTTAGAGAAAACTAAAAATATTGAAAAATTTTCTAGAAAAAACTAAAAATATTGAAAAGTTTTCTATATAAAATTCAAGATATTTAAAAATTTTCTAGAGAAATTTATAAATATTGAAAATATTTCTATAGAAAATTTAAAATATTGAAACATTTTCTATATAAAATTCAAAATATTGAAAACTTTTCTATAAAAAATTATTAATAACTTTGATTCGAGATTCAAAAGTTGTTGGTAGTTTACTTTTCGATAACATTTAGTCTCTATAGAAAATTTATCAATAACTTTTAGTTAGAAACTTTATCTATGGCTTTTAGGCTCTATAGAAAAGTTATAACAATATCATTTTAGTTATCGTTAAATTTTAGTCTCTATATAAAGTTAATCAAAAGTTATTGGTTTCGACATCGACAATTTTTTTTTTCTACAGAAAATTAAAATGTTGATCTTTCTATGGACAATAAAAATTAATTAACTTAAGTTTAAGAAATTTTCCAGATTTTTATATTCCCCCATTTTGCAGCACCAAAAAAAAAAAAACGTCTGCAAATTAATAATTTTGTAACCAAATAAATAGATAACTTTTTCTTTAAATGTTTCCATTAGTATATAATTAATATAATTTTATTGGTTTTTTTATTTTCTTTTTCATATTTTTGATTTTTTCATTAAATTATAATAATAATACAAAAAGAATTTTATTGTTAATAATATTAATATTAATTATAATAATATAATAAGTATATACTCATATATAATATACTACAAAGAAAAATTTTGTTTTTTATTAGATTTGTTGGTTTTTTGTTTTTCTTCTTAAGATTTATAAAATAAGTTCAAAAGATCGTTTTTTGTTTAACGGTTCAATTAAGTAGCAGTCCAGTTATGCAGTCCGTAAGTCCGTCGTTAAAAGTCTATTTAGATTATTTAGAATTTGTCTCTACTTTTTATAAATGGTCTCTGATTACTGATTTCTATATTTATTATCACTATATAAATTTCAGTTTTATTTTTTATTTAAATATATAAACCTAGTTTGATTTTGTTTTTTAATAATATTGTTTCTCTGAATATATGGTTCAATTGAATTGAGTTGGTTTCTTTGGTTATTGTTGTTGCTGTTATTGTTTTATATAATGTTATTATGATTTGTTCGGGTTCTTAAAATGGATATAGATTTTTACGTCTCAGTTCCATGTCTAAATCAGCCAATTGCTGTAGGAAACCATCATTTGGATGAATATCACGGCGCATGCGTACAGTGCGTATAGCATCAACCGCTGACATTTTACGACAGATCATCAAATAGGCCAAAACACAGGTGGCTGAACGGGACACGCCCACCAAGCAATGAACTAAGACTTTGCCTGGAAAAAGGGAAGAAAATTAAAATTTAAGAAAAACTAATTTTCTTTTTCATTAAACTCACCTCCACCACTGATGGCACTGTCAATAAATTTGGCCGCCACGTAGAAATAACGTGAAATATCGGTTGTAGGAGCATCAATCATTGGAAAGCCCATATATCTGAAAACAGTGTCTTTGTTTTTCCTTCTACACACATTTTTATTTATAAAATTTGATTTTATGAATGTTTTACACAGATGTTAAAGGTGCAAATGTTGTAATAAAATCAAAAAGAAAAATGTTCTCAAGTGCCGTAATTACAAAGCAAATGAAAATTTTCGAAATGAAAATAAAAGTTTTATTTCAAACGTTTTTGGTGTAGTGATGGTGAAAATCCGCAGACAAAGTAATTTTGAAAAAAATGTTAGAAATTGTGTTTGTAAATTTTCAATCAAAAATCAATTAAAGCCAAATAAGAGGGGAAAGAAGCGCTGAACACAGATGTAAAATGATAAGCAGAGTGAAATGTTTTCTGAAATGTCAAAAAAGAGTTATCGACAAATGTTAGTCTCCTTAGAAAAGTTACTGTGTTGGTCTCTGTTGAATAGTTATCGATTAATTTTAATCATTATTTTTTAAAGAATAGTTTATCTGAAGGAAGTTATTTATAAATTTTCTGTTACGTATAAAATTTATGTATAATTTTTCTATATGAAATCGATAACCTTTTTATATAGACAAGTTATCGATATTTAAAAAAAAAAATTATCGATTATTATGTAGTTATCGATATCTTTTGTTCCTTATAAAAAAGTAATCGATAACTTTTATTCAGTATAGAAAAGTTTTCGATAACTTTTGTTCTATTTAGAAAAGTTGTCGATAATTTTTGTTCTTTATAGAAAAGCTCTTGAAAGACTAGACTATAGACTAGACTATAGACTAGACTATAGACTGGACTATAGACTAGACTATAGACTAGACTATAGACTAAACTATAGACTAGACTATAGACTAGACTATAGACTAAACTATAGACTAGACTATAGACTAGACTATAGACTAGACTATAGACTAGACTATAGACTAGAATATAGACTAGACTATAGACTAGACTATAGACTAGACTATAGACTAGACTATAGACTAGACTATAGACTAGACTAGACTAGACTATAGGCTAGACTATAGACTAGACTATAGACTAGACTATAAACTAGACTATAGACTAAACTATAGACTAGACTATAGACTAGACTATAGACTAGACTATAGGCTAGACTATAGCCTAGACTATAGACTTGACTATAGACTAGACTATAAACTAGACTATAGACTAGACTATAGACTAGACTATAGGACTATAGACTAGACTATAGACTAGACTATAGACTAGACTATAGACTATACTGACTAGACTATAGACTAGACTATAGACTAGACTATAGACTAGACTATAGACTAGACTATAGACTAGACTATAGACTAGACTATAGACTAGACTATAGACTAGACTATAGACTAGACTATAGACTAGACTATAGACTAGACTATAGACTAGACTATAGACTAGACTATAGACTAGACTATAGACTAGACTATAGACTAGACTATAGACTAGACTATAGACTAGACTATAGACTAGACTATAGACTAGACTATAGACTAGACTATAGACTAGACTATAGACTAGACTATAGACTAGACTATAGACTAGACTATAGACTAGACTATAGACTAGACTATAGACTAGACTATAGACTAGACTATAGACTAGACTATAGACTAGACTATAGACTAGACTATAGACTAGACTATAGACTAGACTATAGACTAGACTATAGACTAGACTATAGACTAGACTATAGACTAGACTATAGACTAGACTATAGACTAGACTATAGACTAGACTATAGACTAGACTATAGACTAGACTATAGACTAGACTATAGACTAGACTATAGACTAGACTATAGACTAGACTATAGACTAGACTATAGACTAGACTATAGACTAGACTATAGACTAGACTATAGACTAGACTATAGACTAGACTATAGACTAGACTATAGACTAGACTATAGACTAGACTATAGACTAGACTAGACTACTATAGACTAGACTATAGACTAGACTATAGACTAGACTATAGACTAGACTATAGACTAGACTATAGACTAGACTATAGACTAGACTATAGACTAGACTATAGACTAGACTATAGACTAGACTATAGACTAGACTATAGACTAGACTATAGACTAGACTATAGACTAGACTATAGACTAGACTAGACTAGACTATAGACTAGACTATAGACTAGACTATAGACTAGACTAGACTAGACTATAGACTAGACTATAGACTAGACTATAGACTAGACTATAGACTAGACTATAGACTAGACTATAGACTAGACTATAGACTAGACTATAGACTAGACTATAGACTAGACTATAGACTAGACTATAGACTAGACTATAGACTAGACTATAGACTAGACTATAGACTAGACTATAGACTAGACTATAGACTAGACTATAGACTAGACTATAGACTAGACTAGACTATAAACTTGAACAAAAATGATCGATAACTTTTCTATACAGATCAGAAATTATCGATAACTTTCTATACAGAAAAAGATATCGATAACATTTGTTTCGATAACCTTGTTTACAGAAAAATTAACGATAACTGGTTATCTGTGCAGAAAATGTATCGATAACTTTTAAATATTATGGGGAACTTATGGATAACATGTTATCTATGTAGGAAGGCTATCGATAACTTGTATTTCCTATTTCTCTATAAGAAAAAAGTTATTATTAATTTCTAAACTCGATAATTTTTATTCTGCTTAAAAATGTTATAGATAATCACTATTCTCTATAGAAATCATATCGCAAAATTTTATTCTCAATAGAAAAGTTCAATAACTTTTTTTGTCTATAATTTTTATTCTGTGTAAAAAAGCTCTCGATAACTTTTTGTCTCTATAGAAAAGTCTGCGATAACATTTAATCCTTACAGAAAATCGATAACTTTAAATTGTATTGTTAATAGAAAAGTTATTGGTAACATTTATTTTATATAGACAAGTAATCGATAACTTGTGTTCTTTATAAAATAGTTTCCGATAACTTCTTATCTCTATATAAAAGTCTTTAATTACTTTTAGTCTTTTTAGAATAGGAATCGATGGCTTTAAGACTCCATTGAAGAAATGCCGATAAACTTCAGTGTCTATAGAAAAGACTTCGATGCATTTTGCATCTTTTAGGTTAGTTATCGATAACTTTTAGTATATGTAAAAAAAGTAATGACAATGTTAGTCTTTAATGAAAATTTAGCAACAAATTTCAGTCTCTTCTCTTCTCGGAAAGGTTATCGATTACTTTTAGTGTCTATAGAAAAGTTTGCAATAACTTTTAGATTCTATACCAAAAGTTATCGAAAACTTTAAGTCTCTTAAGTCCCTCTTCGATTAAAATTTATACTTCCCCTTCATTTCTTCTATAACTCCTCTATTTGATTATTAAATGCGTTGCAATGTGAAAATGTATAAATAAATAAATCCTTGAACATGGAATGGGTTGGATATGCAATGAACAATATGAATGGAGATGGGTGCATGAATGTCATACCTAATACTTGGCATATCACGATAGTAACTGTGCCCTGTATCGACCTGACCATAACGACAACCTTCGGCGGCATTTAAAACATGTGTAATGCCCATCATACGCAGGTATGTTTTATTTTTAGCAGCAGCTCTAAGGAAGGTGAAAATAAACATTTTAACATTTTAATTAACCTTCAGTTCAGAGCCACGTTGGCCTTCTTCTTTAACTTACGCATCACCAATATAGATGCCTGGATAAACTTCATCACAATCCACATCGTGTATGGCGCATTCTGACCTTCTGAGGCCGGGCAATGTGCGGCAGGGTGTCATCGTATAGTGCAATACACGTTGCAATTGACGTCCTGTGGTGTGTTCACTTGAAGAGGCTGCTGACTCCAGACGGCTGGGCGACTGCAAAAAAATACATATAGAAATACCAAACACACATTAGTAATAAATCCAAGTAAAATAAATAGAATCTCATTATTATCTTATTGTTTAGTTATTTATATAGTTTTAGTGGTCTTGCGAAATGCCTTGACTTTTAAGTAATGAATGTGTGAAAATGTGAATTTTGTTGTTTAGAGAAAATATGAATGAATGCCAGCCAGGACAATAAAAGGATTTTCACACACACACACACATACTAAAACAAACATGCCGAAGCAAGCAGCAACAATAACAATAACAAGAACAATACATAGCATACATAGTTCCTTAATATAACAAAAATAATGCGGTCTTAAGCCCTTCATTTATAAATTCAATGTTAGTGGTTGAGATTTCAAAACCATTGTACTTGAAAGTAATTAATGACTGAGTGACTGACGATAATATTTACTGTGATTGTTTTATTTATATTTTCCATTATTTTTTTTTTCTGCTTATAAGTAGTTTTCTTTTAAAATGTCATTTTAAAAGTTTTCAAGATTTTTTTCCTATAAATATTGAGTCCTTGAACTATTATGGGCAGAAAGAAAACTTGTTTTCATAGCCTGTGTTTTTATGGTATAAAAAGTAAGAAAAACATGTTTAAGCAAGTAAAACAATATTTAATGGCGCCATTTTTTGTTTACAACACGAATCCTGTCATTAAATACTTGTCATTATGCGGGACGCGTGTGGGTTTCTATTATAATTAAAATAAAAGTTAAATGAATAATTTTAACTTATTAATGGTTTTTTATAGATCGCAAAGTTTTAACATTATCTTTTTGGGATACAATTGGAATAGGGATAAGTTGATATTTTTGAAACAAGGCGACAGATATTTTAAATGTCATATTAATGTTGATAACTTGAGAAAAAATCGAAAATTTTTTTTAATTTTTTTGAATATTTTAAATTTTCTATTAAAGATTTTTTAATATTTTTAATTTCCGTAGAAAATTTTTCAATATCTATAATTTTATATAGAAAATATTTCAATAGTATAGAAAATTGTTCAATATTTTGAACTTTATAGACAATTTTTCAATATATTTATAATTTTCCATTGAACATTTTTCAATATTTATAATTTTCTATAGAAAATTTTTCAATATTTTCAGTTTTCTATAGAAAATTGTTCAATATTTTGAACTTTTTTTAGAAAATTTTTCAATATTTATTTTCTCTATGGAAAATTGTTCAATATTTTCAGTTTTCTATAGAAAATTTTTCAATATATTCAGTTTTCTATAGAAAATTGTTCAATAATTTCAGTTTTCTATAGAAAATTGTTCAATATTTTCAGTTTTCTATTAAAAATTGTTCAATATTTTCAGTTTTCTATTAAAAATTGTTCAATATTATCAGTTTTCTATAGACAATTTTATAATATTTTCAGTTTACTATAGAAAATTGTTCAATATTTTCAGTTTTCTATTAAAAATTGTTCAATATTTTAAGTTTTCTATAGAAAATTGTTCAATATTTTCAGTTTTCTACAGAAAATTGTTCAATATTTAAAGTTTTCTATAGAAAATTGTTCAATAATTTCAGTTTTCTATAGAAAATTGTTCAATATTTTCAGTTTTCTATAGAAAATTGTTCAATATTTCAGTTTTCTATAGAAAATTGTTCAATGTTTTTAGTTTTCTATAGAAAATTGTTCAATAATTTCAGTTTACTATAGAAATTTGTTCAATATTTTCAGTTTTCTATTAAAAATTGTTCAATATTTTCAGTTTTCTATTAAAAATTGTTCAATATTTTCAGTTTTCTATAGAAAATTTTTCAATATTTACAATTTTCTATAAAAAATTTTTCAATATTTATAATTTTCAATAGAAAATTGTTCAATATTTTGAGTTTTCTATAGAAAATTGTTCAATATTTTTAGTATTCTATAGCAAATTGTTCAATATTTTGAGTTTTCTATAGAAAATTGTTCAATATTTTCAGTTTTCTACAGTAAATTGTTCAATATTTTCAGTTTTCTATAGAAAATTTTTCAATATTTTAAATTTTCTATATAAAATTGTTCAATATTTTAAATTTTCTATATAAAATTGTTCAATATTTTCAGTTTTCTATAGAAAATTGTTCAATATTTTTAGTTTTCTATAGAAAATTGTTCAATATTTTCAGTTTTCTATAGAAAATTGTTCAATATTTTAAGTTCTCTATAGAAAATTTTTCAATATTTGAAGTTTACTATAGGAAATATGCAATATTTTCAGTTTTCTATAGAAAATTGTTCAATATTTTGAGTTTTCTATAGAAAATTGTTCAGTATTTTCAGTTTTCTATAGAAAATTGTTAAATATTTCTATTCTCTATAGAAAATTTTTTAATATTTATAATTTTTTTTATGAAAAATTGTTCAATATTTATAAATTTCTATGCAAAATTGTTCAATATTTTCAGTTTTCTATAGAAAATTTTTCAATATTTTTATTCCCTATAGAAAATTTTTCAATATTTTGAATTTTCTTTAGAAAAATTTTAAATATTTTGAACTTTATATAGAAAATTGTTCAAAATTTTAAACTTTCTATAGAAAATTGTTTGACATTTTCAGTTTTCTATAGAAAATTGTTCAATATTTAAAGTTATCTATAGAAAGTTATTCAATATTTAAAGTTTTCTTTAGAAACATATTTAATATTTTCAACTTTTTATGGAAAATTCCTCAATATTTTATTATATAGAAAATTTTTTAATATTTATAATTTTTTATAGAAAATTGTTCAATATTTTGAATTTTATATAGAAAATCATTCAAAATTTTGAATTTTCTATAGAAAATGTTTCAATTCTTTGAACTTCCTATAGAAAATTGTTCAATATTTTGAACTTTCTATAAAAATTTTTCAAAATTAAAAAAATTCTATAGAAATTTTGTCAATATTTCGATTTTTTATATATTTTTTTTATATTCACTATAGAAAATTTTTCAATATTTTAGCCTCTCATCTGATTTTAATCTTAATTTGAACTTTTTCTTAAGAAAATGTATCGATTATTTGAAAAAAAAAACTATAACAATAAAAGAACTTACAAATTTTGCTATAGAAAAAAAATGTAAAAATTTTTTTTTCTAAATTTAACACACGTAAAAATTGCATTCACTTTCACTTTCCTTTGTGATATTTTCTTTTTGTGTGCAATTGACCCTGAAGAGCATTTTAATGTGCTTTTAACATTAAAAAACTACATTAATTTGTTGGTTTTTATTTTTGTTTTATTGCAAATTAATTTCTATGGCAGAAACAAACACGTAGAAAAAAAACTTTTTGAATTAAAAATCAAAACGTAAATAAAAGTTGTGTTATTTTCTTCGTGTTTTTTGGTGGCATTTAAAGAATCTGATTTTATTTAATGCGACAATTTATGTGAAACATTTTTTTTTTTTTTTTTTTTTTTGGTTTTGCATTATTTGGCTAAAAGCCAACATGTGACAAATACTTACAGCAACAACGAAATTACAACAATCATAGTTAGTTAATTATATGCAAAAGAATTCTATTTAAACCGAAAAAAAGACCCTGACGGTAAAAAAGTTAAAAAGCGACAAAAAGACATGTGTTGTATTATTTGTACAAGTCACCAACATCTCCTTGAATTTTTAGACAAAAGGCCAGATATTATTAAGCCAATTAGTGGTGGTGGTGGTGGGAGGGTAGACAATACAAAAAAAAAGAACTGTTAAAAGATTACAGCAAACAAATACAATTGACATTTAGACAAGGTAAATGGTAAAGCAAAAAAAGAAAACGGTGTAGGTTAGACATGAGTATTGTTTTTACACATTTACAAGTCTTTATTTGCATTTAGTTATATATTTAGCGCCTAAAAGTAGACTTTAGTTATTTTTAATATTTTAAGCCTAATAATAGGCTAAACAAATAAAAAGCAAGCAAGCGAGCAAACGAACAAGCAGCAGTTAAAAGACAACACAAATGCAAATGTATTCAAGCAGCAGCAATTGTAAATGGCAGACATTTAAAAATAACAACAACAATTAAAACAAAATAAGTCTCAAAATAACAACAACAACAATAGTAGTAAAGGTAGTAAACACCCAACACTTATCAAGGTTTTAATTTTACTTTCTAATTATAATTAATATTTTTAAAACAAATTTCCATTTCCAACCTGATAATACAAAGAACTGTATCTATCACCAATACTACTGGCTGTAGAATATCTATCAGCGGAGTATCTATCACTGCCAAGCTGTAATATAAATAAATTAAACATCATAATTATACCAATTGTTTTAAAAATAGTTAACAATTAAATAATAAATAACTTAAAAATAAAATATGTCATTTTTGTAAACAACAATTTATAAACTAAATAACAAATTAAAATATCATCCTGAAACAAAAAATAATTTCTTTGAAATTTTGTGGTAAAAATAAATGAAATTTAATCTTTTGACTGAAACAAATCATTGTTGCTAAAAGGCAATGAATGAGGTTAGTTGATGTTTCATACAGGTGGTGTTACACTTAAGAGTAAAATAATAGTAACAATTAAGGAAATTTATAAAAAATTCAAAAGTTTAAATTTTCTATAAAACTTTTTTAAAATTTTAATATTTTTATGGCAAATTATGTAATATTTTGAAATGTTATAGAAAATTTTTCAATATTTTCAAGTTTTTATAGAAAATTTTTCAATATTTTTAATTTTCTATAGAAAATGTATCAATATTTTCAATTTTCTATATAAAATTTGCTGTATTTTCAATTGTCCATAAAAAATTTCAATATTTTCAATTTTCTATAGAAAATTTTTCAATATTTTTAATATTCTATAGAAAATGTATCAATATTTTCAATTTTCTATAGAAAATGTATCAATATTTTCAATTTTCTATATAATTTTTGCTGTATTTTCAATTGTCCATAAAAAATTTCAATATTTAAAATTTTCTATAAAAAATTTTTCAATATTTTTCATTTTATATTGAAAATTTTTCAATATTTTTAATTTTCTATAGAAAATTGTTCAATATTTTTAATTTTCTATAGAAACTTTTTCAATATTTTAAGTTTTGTATAAAAACTTTTTCAATATTTTAAGTTTTCTATAGAAAAATTTTAAATATTTTAAGTTTTCTATAGAAAAATTTTCACTATTATCAATATTCTATAGAAAATTTTTAAATATTTTTAACATTATAAATTTTTCAATATTTTTCATTTCCTATTGAAAATTTTTCAAAATTGAATACTTCTTTATCGAAAAATTTTCAATATTTTTAATTTTCTATAAAAAATTTTTCAATATTTTATGTTTTCTATAGAAAACTTTTCAATAATTTTAATTTTCTATAGAAAGTTTTTCAATATTTTTAGATTTCTATAGAAAAATTGTCAATATTTTAAGTTTTCTATAAAAAGATTTTCAATATTATCAATATTCTAAAGAAAATTTTTCAATATTTTCAACATTATATAGAAAATTTTTCAATATTTTAAATTTTATATAAAAATGTTCAATACTTTTAAGATTCCATAGAAAGTTTTTCAATATTTTTCATTTTCTATTGAAAATTTTTCAATATTTAATACTTCTTTATAGAAAATTTTTCAATATTCTAAATTTTCTATAGAAAACTATTCAATAATTAACATTTTCTATGGAAAATTTTTCAATATTTTTAATTTTCTATAGAAAATTTTTCAATATTTTAAGTTTTCTATAAAAAACTTTTTAATAATTTCAATTTTCTATAGAAAATTTTTCAATATTTTTAATTTTCTATAGGAAATTGTTAAATATTTTTAATTTTCTATAGAAAATTTTTCAATATTTTAAGAAAAATTTTCAATATTATCAATATTCTATAGAAAATTTTTCAATATTTTCAACATTATATAGAAAATGTTTCAATATTTTAAATTTTATATAAAAAAATTTTCAATATTTTTAAGATTCTATAGAAGGTTTTTCAATATTTTTCATTTTCTATTGAAAATTTAATACTTCTTTATAGGAAATTTTTTATAATTTTTAATTTTCTATAGAAAAATTTTCAATATTTTGATTTTTCTATAATATTTTCAATATTTTCAACATTATATACAAAATTTTTCAATATTTTAAATTTTATATAAAAAAATTTTCAATATTTTTAAGATTCTATAGAAAGTTTTTCAATATTTTTCATTTTCTATTGAAAATTTTTCAAAATTTAATACTTCTTTATAGAAAATTTTTCATAATTTTTAATTTTCTATAGAAAATTTTTCAATATTTTGATTTTTCTATAAAAAAAATTCAATATTTTGAATTTTCTATAGAAATATTTTCAATATTTTAAATTTTCTATAGAAATATTTTCAATTTTTTGAATTTTCTATAGAAAATTTTTCAATATTTTCAATTTTCTATAGAAAATTTTTCAATATTTTCAATTTACTATAGAAAATTTTTCAATATTTTCAATTTTCTATAGAAAATTTTTCAATATTTTCAATTTTCTATAGAAAATTTTTCAATATTTTCAATTTTCTATAGAAAATTTTTCAATATTTTCAATTTTCTATAGAAAATTTTTCAATATTTTCAATTTTCTATAGAAAATTTTTCAATATTTTCAATTTTCTATAGAAAATTTTTCAATATTTTCAATTTTCTATAGAAAATTTTTCAATATTTTCAATTTTCTATAGAAAATTTTTCAATATTTTCAATTTTCTATAGAAAATTTTTCAATATTTTCAATTTTCTATAGAAAATTTTTCAATATTTTTAATTTTCTATAGAAAATTTTTCAATTTTTCAATTTTCTATAGAAAATTTTTCAATTTTTTCAATTTTCTATAGAAAATTTTTCGATTTTTTCAATTTTCTATAGAAAATTTTTCGATATTTTTAATTTTCTATTGAAGATTTTTCAATATTTTTAATTTTCTATAGAACATTTTTCAATATTTCTATAGAAAATTTTTCAATATTTTTAATTTTCTATGGAAAATTTTTCAATATTTTTAATTTTCTGTAGAAAATTTTTCAATATTTTTAATTTTCTATAGAAAATTTTTCAAAATTTTTAATTTTCTATAGAAAATTTTTCAAAATTTTTATTTTTTTCTATAAAATTTTTCAATATTTTTAATTTTCTATAGAAAATTTTTCAATATTTTTAATTTGCTATAAAAAATTTTTCAATATTTTTAATTTTCTATAGAAAATTTTTCAATATTTTTAATTTTCTATAGAAAATTTTTCCAAATTTTTAATTTTCTATAGAAAATTGTTCAATACTTTTAATTTTTTATAGACAATTTTACAATATTTTTAATTTTCTATAGACAATTTTTCAATATTTTAAGTTTTCTATAGAAAAATTTTCAATATTTTAAGTTTTCTATAGAAAAATTTTCAATATTATCAATATTCTATAGACATTTTTTCAATATTTTTAATTTTCTATAAACAATTTTTCAATATTTTAAGTTTTCTATAGAAAATTTTTCAATATTATCAATATTCTATAGACAATTTTCAATATTTTAAGTTTTTGTAGAAAAATTTTCAATATTATCAATATTCTATAGACAATTTTTAAATATTTTCAATATTCTATAGACAATTTTTCAATATTTTTCATTTTCTATTGAAAATTTTTCAAAATTTAAGTTTTCTATAGAAAAATTTTCAATATTTTCAATTTTCTATAAAAAAATGTTCAATATTTTAAATTTCCTATAGAAAAATGTTCAATATTTTCAATTTTCTATAGAAAATTTCTAACATTTTCAATTTTTAATAGAAAATTTCCAATATTTTCAATTTTCTATAAAAAATTTTTCAATATTTTTAATTTTCTATTGAAAAATTTTAAATATTTTGATTTTTCTAATGAAATATTTTCAATATTTTTAATTTTCTATATAAAATATTTCGAATTTTCTTTACAAAATTTTTAAAATTTTCGAATTTTCTTTAGAAATTCCTAAATTTGGAAGTTTTTTTTTCAAATTCTTATCAATTCCTGCTATAAATAACCACACACCTGTACAGACAGTGACAATTTTACACGACAACAAATTAACCTTGAATTTGTTTTTCTCAAAGGTGTTAAAAAATAAAAATAAACACTCACACACACACACAAACAATCGCATTCAAACACACTAAAAACTAAATAAAAATATAATTAAACATGAAATCTTCGCATTTCAACATGAAAAGAATTTTGTCTCAAAAGTCAACAACATGAAAAACAGAAAATAAAACCCGCAACTATTTAACAAAAAAAATTCTTTCTTTTTTGCACAAAATTAAAATAAATTTTCTTAAACGATGCTAATGGGTTAAATTTTTATATTTTTTCACCTTAATTTTCATGCTAAAGAAAGAATTTCACGTTGGTGTGAATGTACGCGTCGACGGCCAAAATAAAAAAACCAAAATGTTATTTGTTGTTGGCAGGCAAAAGATTGAATCATTTTATTTAATTTTCTATAGAATTTTTTTCTTAATTATTTATTTATTTTTGTGTGGCTATTCAACTGTCTATAATTAGCCCGCCATAGAGAAAATATTCAACATTTTGTTAAATAGATTTTTTTCTGCTGCTTTTTCTAAATTACGAAGTATAAATGCCGTTATATACTTATGTTTGCAAGTATGTGTGTTTTTCTTTAATATTTAGCAAAATTTAAAATGTTTTCATTAATATTTTGAAAAAAATTCTTTTGTTTATATGCAAAATATGTTTATGTTGATATAATCACTTTTTAGTTGAAACTATAAACAAATAAATTTAATATAAATTTCATCATCTGTTAAAATATTTGAAAGTGAAATAATTGTTTTGTGTTTTTGCAAAAACGTAGGTAATATATTTTTTAAATTGTTATTTCATTTATAAAGTACATATATATTAATATTGTTTATTTTTCTTATTCATATTTGTATTTATTATATGTATATTGCCTGCATATAGAAATATTTCAGTTTTGATGACTCATAATTTGTTATAAATTTATTTAATTTTTTTTAATTATATAGAAATGCAAGTGAGAAACAGTAATGGCAAAATTTAACATTTTTTATACAAAATTTTTTAAAATTTCATAGATTTGATTTTCTATTTTTTCAATATTTTTAATTTTCTATAAAAATTTTTTAATATTTTTAATTTTCTATAAAAATTTTTCCAATATTTTTAATTTTCTATATTAACTGTTTCAATACTTTTAATTTTCTATAGA